CTTCAAACTCAAAATCCACAACCAACCATTTTTGACATTTCAATCAAGTTAACCCCAATCAAGACAATTAGCTACTCATGTCAACAGAATTATAGCATCCAAGGAAATTAGTAACAGACATAAAAAATAAAACCTACCATTGAATAACCACTCAGACTTGTTGTTAGTATTTATTTTCCGAATAACAGTAATATGCTCATCTTTACCATCCCCTCTCAAAGTAATCTTAATGCAACCTGATTCTTCTCCCCGCTTCACGTATGATCCAATACTTGTTGCTCGCCCCAGCAGCTGGAAAGAAGAAAAAGTCCCAATCTTAATGTGCTTTGAGAATAAAATATTGAGATTCAAAGTTATGTCTTGGCCTGTATGAACCAACCTGAGGCTCACCCCCAAGGCCAAGCGCAATGGCACACACAAGAGAGCTCTTCCCAGCACCATTGGGTCCAATAACAAGATTCAGACGAGGACCAGGTTTACATTTTAAGTAGTCAAAGGTCATAAACTTAAGAAGCTCAATCTCGATAATGCTTCCAGGCATATAATCATCTTCTCCCCTGAAAGAAAGAATAAAACCGTCCACTGAACAATCATCTTACAGACCTATAATCATATCCATTTAGCAACAAGGTATTCTATGATTGTGATTATCAAACAAAAAATCTCAATTTAGTTGATCAGATTTCTTAAGTAAATGTGTGCAGTACTAGCATGAAATATAGATCATAGCTCCATTAAAATAATAATAATAATAATAATAATAATATATTATTATTATTATTATTATTATTATTAACGAATAATGATGACGCTAGTGAATTCAAACCTAGCATTCCTTGAGTACCATAAGGAAGGAAAACCATTTAATCGAGAAAACCAGGAATGAACTTTAGAGAAGAAGGACGGGGGTTGCCCCAACCAAACACCCCCCCCAAAAAAGGAAAAAGAAAAAATACAAAAGAAAATGACAGAGAGAGAGAGAGAGAGAGACCCGGGAAGCAACAGCAGCACTGGTAACTAGTGGCAGGTTAACATTCCCAACTAAAAAACAACAGGCAAATTCAAGTTTCCAACTTTCATGGTTCTAGTTCTCTTATTCCTGAACATCTTCGCCAATCAACAAAAAAACTGAAGAACAATATCAGTGGCACAGCCCTAAAGCCTGAAATCAGGTATAATGTTGACAAACCTGGCAATTTTGGGGCGCTTACGACGAGGTTCAGACATTGCAAAAAGGGAACCTGGGGATTCGACACTCTCTTCGACTACGAAGCTTCAATATACCTATGCTTCAGTTTTTGCTTTTCTCAGAAACCTTCATGCGTTCATGAATCAGTGAACCAGAACCATGACTAGGGTTTTCCTGAAGACTGGAAAAAGCGAAGAACATGCGAATGGAGAATTGGCGCCAAATTGGAATGAATTCGGACTCTCTGTCAGTTGGGGATGGCAGGGTCGGATCTTCTCTAAGATACATGTCGGCCTTTTGGTCTGTCGGATCTCCAGCTGATTAGCTGAATATAAATCCCAAATCATTAATCATTAATTAATGAGTTAGGTCTAATTTTATTTCTGTAATTATTTTTAAGAGTATTGGGTATTTTATATTTTTAAGTGAGGTAATTTTTTTTAAAGTATTTTTTTTATATTCAAAAATATATTTTTATTAAAAGACCATTAATTTTGCCGTTATTAATATGGCCGTAGAGCCCACACACAATAATAAATAAGACTTTAACTATATTTTTTGTGCTAATTTACCTCTAAATTCTTTTCTAAGGAACACTAAGCATCCGAAATTTTTTTTTTAGGAATATTGATAGAATATTAAATATTTTCATAATTAATAGTTTAAATATTATTATTATCTTTCAATTATTAGCAACTCAAACTAACATTTTATAAATTTATAGATGACTTCTTATTTTTTATATATCGATATTCAATCTTCTTTTTCAGATAGTGCCCAAATCATTCGGCTTTTTGTACATGTCAAAAGTTATTTGTATTTTTAATATTGGTTAAGTTTTTTAAATTTTTAGGTTATTTTCTATGACTTTTTTGACAACTAACAATCTTCCTCTAAAATATTACACTACCCAAATTTCATAATCTCTATATGCTGCAGTGCTAAGAGTAAAATTAGAAACATGACAAATCAGAACAAATAATATGTCAATAAAAATATTTATTTAAAATATATCACCTATTCCATTAATGTACTATCAAAAAAATTACTTAACAAAAGAAAAATGAGGAGATGAGAAGAAAAAAAAATCCTTTCATTAATTTGAAGATACATTTCCTTTGTTTTTAACACAAAATTGCAAGATATCAAAAGTATTAAAATATTAAATTAGATGGTGTAATTTTTTAAATAATAATATTTGAATTATTCAATATTAAAATACTTAATATTTTACAATATTTATTAAATTTTATTTTAACATGACTTTAGGGTACCCAACGTTTCTAAAAAAAGAGTTAAGGGACAAGTTAGCATCTAGTGATTCAATCAAAATCTTATATATCATTGTGCATAGGCTCTCCATGCATGCCACGTCAGCTAATGACTCAGTCAAAATCTCATACGTTACTGTGAGCATCCATCATGTCTCCATTATCTTACTTACTCTTAATTTTATAGATAAAACTTGGGTCTCAATTTGCTTTAATCCATATTTTTGGTTCTCTGCTTCTCTGGCCCAAAAAGAAAAAGACTCAACATTGTTTGTTGCCCATTAACTTGCATTGTAAATTTGTAATATATAAAAAAGTTTTTTTTACAACAAATTATAAGTTCAACTATGCTGACTTGTGCACCTATTCACATGGTTTAATACAATAGATAATTTATTTTTATAATATAAATTATATATTTATAATTATTTTTTATTCTATTATTTGGCATCTTAAGAAACTTGAGATATTACTATCATTCACTTAAACTAATATGTACCCTCAAGACTTAAATTTGAGACTTCTGAATAAGTTGATTTAACTCTCCTGAACAACTGAATCAAACACTACTCAATATATCTTTATTATCTTTATAATCATTTGATCCTCATACTTTATCTTCATTTTTTTCCTTCTAAATTTCGTCTTTGCAATTTATTTATTTTCCAAAATGATACCTATTTTTTTTGGTTTATTTCGACTTTAACCAATGATCATTGGATTCTTAATGTGGCATTCATAAACCAAGTCATGGTATTCAACAGAACCTGATTCAGTTTATGAAGCTCTGAAACGCAACCACCTCACTAAAGAAGAGCCATGGGAGGCCAAGCTTGAAGGGCAAAGTATCATACCGATGGATCAATTATAGAATACAAAGCAAGGCTTGTAACAAAGAAAATTCAGAAAGAACTTGGAACAGATTATAGTTAAACCTTTAGCCCTGTGGCAATAATACTTACAAGAAGATGATTACATGAGACAACCTAAAGGCTTTACTGACAAAGTAAAAAAAAAAAAAAAAAACTTCGTCATATGGGCAAACTCTCAACGGCTTTCTATGGGTTGAAACAGTCCGTTTGGTATGAGAGGCTGGGAATTACTCTTTTATCCTCTGGATTTGGCAACTCAATGGGTGTGTGACAATCCTCTTTTTATTCTTAAAACCATGTTACTATCTATTTAGTAGATGACATCTCGGTAACTGATGGTAGCCAGTTTTTGCTGCAAATTTTCATTCATAGATTGAACCTGTTGTTTGCCTTCAAAGATTTGGGTCAAGGACACTATTTTCTTGGGCTGGAAATATATAGAGACAGATCTAGTTTCTTCGTTAATCAAGGTAGACATGTGTTGGGTGTTCTGAAAGATTTCATTTGGAGAATGCAAGCCCTTATGCTACTACACCTATGGTAGCTGGAATGTCATTTTCTGCTTGTGAAGGAGAGAGTGTGAAGGTGGTGTTTAGAAGAGCTATTGCTTATTGGTGCACTTCAGTACATTAACTAACACTAGACCAGATATTGTTTATGCTGTAAATAGCTTGAGTCAGTTCTTAAATTCCTCCATCGTAACTACAAGGAGTCAAGAGAGTCATCTCAGTTTGCACATAAAACTAGGTTTAGATCTTCAATTTACAGGCTATTTTGATCCAGATTGGACAGCTAGTGTTGATTATAGACTTCCAATTGCTGGATATTTTGTGTTTTAGGTAATAATTTAATTCCCTGGTTATTTGGGAAACAAAATGTGTGGCGTGACAACATAAGTGCAATCAAATAGTCAAATCTTGTTTTCCATGCTAGAACCAAATATATTGAGATTGGCAAGCATTTTATAAGGGACAAAGACATCAACAATCAAATTTTGGGCTCTTATGTTTCATCAGAACAAGAAGCAGTAGATTGTTTAACAAAAGCCTTGCCTCATACTAGATTATCGGTGCTGTTTGGCTAATTTGGAGCGATATCTTCACCCTCAGGGTTGAGGGGACGTGTTACAGCAGCATAGTAATTTATATTTTCCTGCACTCTGTTTATTTACTGATTGTATTATTGTTATTATTCTGGTTTTGACTTTTCCTTGTGTTCTTACATTGTTGATGTGTAAAGGGCCACAGGCCGGCTTGTATTATTACTCTCATTTTTATGTGGTTTCCTTGACTGTTTGAGGCAAAACAACCTGAAAACTACTTTAACCTCTTGTTGCAAGAACTCAAGCAATTGAACCACCAGCCACTTAAATCAACTGACTAGGAGGTTGGTGTAGCTTAACCACAGTTCTTGAGTTCAAGCCATGTACATGCAAAATTTTCTCTGGGAGGTATGTCCCCTCCAAAGAGATGCTTGCAAGCTGCCAACCAAATTAGTTGGAGTCAAAAACGTAAGATCGTGGAGCGAAAGAAAAAAAAGAAAAAAAGAAAAGGGCTCAAGCACTTGACCTCTGCCTTCTCCTTCCTACTGAAGGGTAAGTAACTGCCAATAGCACTGAATATTTGAAATAGAAAAATAAAGTGAGATGAAAGAATGACACCAGCATAATTAGATACAAATACAATAATGATTGGCATAACACTACACACAACCAAATCAGCCCCTAAAATTAGAACTAGGCACATGATTTCCGAAACCAATCAGCGAGAGGGTTCTTTAACTGGAAATCATCAACTGTCAATAAAACTACAATCTAAGCAAACATAATCCTCTGGCTACAAAGAACAAAGCTTTGATAACTATGACTAAAACAATGAATTGCCCTCCAGAAAAAAAAAATATATATATATATAAATAACCAAGTCAGCTCCATTAGCAGAAACCAGTAACGATTAGAGATCCAAGTAGATTTTTCCCACTTCTTCATCACCTCACCATTATAACTTCTTGAGGAAAGAAATTCAAATAATTTCAGCCTAAGCATAATATGCCAACTCAGTCAATTATAAAGATACACATAAACATATCAAACAGATTATGTGTATCTTTGTGATTAGACTCAGTGGATCAATCTTTTATGGAAAGAAGCTACCCAAGAATTTCCTTTTTTGATGCAAACACCAGTGGCACCAAGTTAAAGGCTTGATTGAAGAGATGACCCAGGACCAAGGCCTGTCAGGCCTAGATGATGATTCTGGTAAGTCATGATGTATGTTTCATCCTTACCACGTTCATAGGTTTTGTGATTATGATGTCTACCGTAACCATATTGTCATAATATGGCCTCTGCGATCCCAAGCTTGCTGCTGAGGTATAATTGTGTGGGAATGTCCCATTTGTGGAGGTTGGACACTGTGTCTGGTTGTGACAAGGTTAGTGAACCAGTCAATGCTAGCAAGGGTTCTAGTAATAAAGTTTTGCTCTCACTTTTTCTTTCCTTCTCTTTCTTCATTTCTTCTAGTAACATTTTGCTGGTGTCAATACCTGATAAAGATTCAGAGGCAAAAAAGCTCACATTCACAATTCAGATCTTGAGGTCTTACAATAATTACTGCTTAATTTGGCAGAGCAAGTTTAACATGAAATTAATGCCTTACCTGAGAGGTATCCACCATGGACGTAGCCATTAAATCTTTCACTTGTGTGCTCTCCAGTAAAGAAAATACGACCAACTGGGGCCTGAACCATCCCCGAACGAACAAATAAACAAGTGGGAAAAAGAAAGTCTGTTTTTATGCGTGTTTACTTTAGAGAACACAAACCACTAGTGCACAAAACGATATATAATGAGACCAGTATAAACACCAAGCTACACAGAGACTAGAAAACCACAAATGATATCCTAATAACTTGAATTTGAATCTCAAATGCAATGGTCCTCACTGTATCCGATCATAACACTCAGATGCAGGATTTAAGACATCTATTAGGTTCTCATATAAAAAATGGCACGCAGATATTACTTATTACTCAATGCTGTATGAATGATTCTACTAAAGAAGGTCTTTCACAACTCTTTTTCATGCAAGACCTTATAGCAAACATTTTAAGGATTTTTACCTAAATTTTATCTCATGTTCCTACAAAATCAGAAGTCCACTGCCTCATTTTCCTTTTCTTTTTACAGGCTATTTTGTTGACCAACACTTTTTACAGGCTATTTAGAAATGAAAGAAATGGAAAAAAAAAGGTTTATTTACTATAGTGTGGACAAATTCATGACCTGTCATTTTGGGCATTTATTCACTTCTTTTACAAGGAAGATCAGACAAGTTACTTTGTACAAAAACCAGGATGACTAGAGATATCATTAATTATAATAGCCAGCTGTTAAGCTCCAAGTCGAATTATGTTTGTCTTCACATGCAACTTGAGAACAGAACATAAAAGATATAGCATGCAATGATAATGTAAGAAAAAAACACATCCAAATATATTCAACGCGAAAAACAAACCTGAATATTATGCACAACTTGCGGGTTAGAGATAATGGGATAGTTGCTATAGCTGCCACGCTGGAATCTATTATTCCACCAGCGGGGAACAAGTATATCAGTGGCATCTGGTATGTTGGGTCCAAACATATCCTTAAGAACCGCCATAGCTTCTTTTAGGGTCTCTCTATCAGATTGAGCTTCTACGCGTTTCGATTCCTCATTGGTCAATGTCACAACCAAGATGTGGGAGCCAGGGTAAGCATTCTCCATGTGCTGGTGACAAAGCAGCAAATCAGCAGATGAGAGAGAAGATTTTGTTGTGCAAGTATCGTGAATAGATAATTCTATCTCAAGGCCCATTTCCAAAATATTTTGATTCCAAATCCAAATATTTACAGTAATGATAGATGATAGATGCTCGCATATGAAGTCAATGCATATTGGGGGAAAAATGAAAACAAATATTCAGGATTGTACTGAAATAATACGATAGCCAAGTAATGTTAATATTTTGTTATCAAATAAATCAATTTTCTCCTATTAAACTACCATTTCTTGCTTTGAAATATGGACATTTAACTTAGTATTATAAACAAATAAAAAATAATAATAGCTGGAGAAAGTAAGTAAGAAGTTCCCATCACGAAACCAATACGGACAAATCCAATAGAATACCAACATCACATACATCATAGGGGAATAATGAGCCATAAAATAATAAAAAAGGGGGAAAATCAATATATGTCGTTATCCCTACAAGGATAACTCCCTTACGTTCATAATATAGGGCAGTTTCTATAAGTTTTGCTTTTAGGGCACGGTATAAACTATAGTGTTTATAATTTGTTTTTTAAATTATGCATTTCCTTCATCTATTGTTACTATGTAATTAATGACGGATATTTTAAAGAAGTCAAGTACACAAATGTAACATTTATTTCAATCAAAAGTAAAATCGAAAAGATATAAACTTACTAAGAATAAGAATATTAAGGTTTCGGTTAACTTTGTGCACACGCACGCACGCACATACATATATTGTGAGTGAAGGCACTAATTAATATTATCCTCACACACGATAAATCAAAGTAGTTGCTGCTAAGAATGTTTAAAACCGTGTGCTCTTCTACAAAAGTAGCCTGGCTCATCTTAAGTAAAGACTGATTAGAACTAAAGTTAAATCTCGATATGAAAACAAAAGGATATTTGAATCGATTAGCCTTTTGGCCTTATTATGTTGAATTATTGGACAAGAGAAATAAAAAAACTAGTGAGAGATAGATATAAGCAATGAAATAAATTTGAAATTCCATTTTTAACCACTCGAGTCTCCAGGAATGGAACACCTTAAAAGCACAACACAGTCGTGGAGCATAATAATGAATGGGCAAACTAGAAATTATGCAACAACTTCGATTTCTCATAATTATGTGATAAATTGATTTCTGAAAATCTACTCTTCATAAATTCGAGAAACAAAGTAGACACAGAATGCAAACAAAATAGTGTACAATACAGCAGGGAAGGAAATTAAATAACTGGCAACAGTAAAGGAGAATTTCTTGCAAACCTGCCAAAATGTGTAATAGCCTCTCCGCTCATGAGCATAGATGAAGAATTCCTTTTCGGGTCCACTTGGCCAGAACTTACACGGAAACTTCAGAAAGATTTTAGTGTAGACCATCACATCACATTCCCCTATGGCTTCCACTTTCCACCTCTGTTTCATTGTGTATATTAAACGTAGTCGCGTTAAAAATACGATGTACAGCAAAACGAAACATATCAGACAGACACGTACATGAAATTCTTAACTGCTTGAAAAAAATAATCTGTGATATTATTTTGAAATTGCAAAAAGTTATTACCATCAACTCATATTTTCTTAAATTTACCAAAAAAAAAATACTATTATTGTTACTATTATCAAATCAAGTTTTCATTATACGTATTTGCATCTACAACTAATAAAACTAAAATCTCTCAAAAGGTCATTTGAATGAAGTTACATAGTATCTTTCTAAATTTTGCGAGAATTAAGGTAATTTCTCGTTAATTAAGAATTGAGAATTGAACAGAGAGAGATTATTTTCTGCACACACGTCCATGTGGTGATCTAGTATTTGCCCACAGCTAAGAGGGTTAGCATGGGTCCTTCGTTAACGAGACTGTGGATTATCCGATACCGTGGATCAAGCAGTCCCTGGTTTTTGAAAAGGAGGACTCCTCGAAATTAGATTTTCTTGCGTCATCAATCAGAGAGCTCTATTCAATACTTTACCTAGCTATGCCTATGTTTTGACTTATTAATACGAGACCTAGCAATCCCTATGTTTTGACTTTGTCATCACAGTACATGGCTTGAAGGTTAAAAAAAAAAAAATACAGTATGTGACTAATCCTATTGAAGAAGGTGGACCACACCCTAAACATCAGTATGGAAACAACGGAAACTCCTAGCAGGGACTCGCAAAATCGAAAGCAAATCCTAAAGATTCCGCCGTGTTGGTTCCAAGTAAATGTGTTCCTGTCAGATGAAAATTGAATTTAATATCTTGCCTGTAAATCTGATTGCACTAGCAGTGGGTTTAAAGTTTTACTACTAGTATTTAACTTATATTTTGTATTTAATAGCTGAATTACTATCCGAATTTCGTTTGTTTATGATAGTCTTCAGCCAAAAGAACAAGAGTTTATAGGATTGCCTAGATTCTCTTTTTTATGCTCCCCATTGCCCTAAAAAGGACAGCGTGTTGACCAGCAGATTCAGGAACGACAACTGGGTTCCCGACATCAATTAAAAGAGCTATATGTAGTTCATAATGTAGGGGATCCTGGGGATGGGAGATAGAGAGTAAGGGAGGAAAAGTGGCTCTTCTAAAAGTGAAGACGTACAGGTAAAGGAGGGTGAAAGGCGATAAGCTCGCTTTGGAGGACGCCAATACTAACAGATAGAATCACGTAGTCAGCCTCGAAAACGCAACCATCTTCCGTTATTAGGGTAACGCCCCTTCTCGAGTGCTGCAATTCCCGGACGACCTGCACAAATCCATGCAAAAGATTCAGCCAGATGTCAGCCTGAAATCATCAAATTAATGTGTCAGAAATGAAGGTTCTTCTGCTTTTGTTTGTTATGTAAAATTATTATTAACTTTAATTAATTCTAAATTTTTACGAAAATATAAAATACTATTAACAAAGCTCAATATTTGCATTTTTTTTCACCAACCTAATATTTGCATTGAAAATTAATACTCCCTCCAAGATATTATAAAATATTTTTTTATAAAATTATAGATACCGATAAAATCAATTAAATACAATTTGAAATCTTAATTTTTAAAATACAAATATTCTTTTATTTCATGAGTGTTCAAAAAAATGAGAGAAAGTAAGAGATAATATTTAAAAATTTAATAAGTAAAACATATTAAAATTAATTTTGGAATAAACTTCATTAATAAATCAATATTTTTTCAAAACATTATGAAATATTGAATCACTTTTAAAAAAAACACCATACTCCCTCTGGAAAGAGAAAAGAATTTTTTTAATCTCATTTATAACTCATATCATTAAATTTTTATCATAAATTTCTTTTTAGCCTCATTGAATGTTAGAAAGAAAAAATATATTGTTAAAGTATGTATATTTAATAAAAATAAAAAAATTTTAAATAAAGTTAATAAAATTTAAATTTTTTAATAAAATATATTAAAAATAACTTACAATAAGAAGAGCATAAAATAATAGGGTGAGAAAGAAGCACCACCAAGCTAAAATAATATTCAGTACTTAGTGCCAAAGTAAACGAACTGCGAAGGGATAAAATTGCACGTGAACAGTCAAAGCGAAAAGAATCCGTGCACCGTAGAATTTGGAATAAAGATATAAATCCAGGAAAGAGATTCTTTTTCTCAGAAGTCAGGACAGTATCGATTTCACAGAGCAAGCCAGCTGCCTGAATTTACCCCATTATAAAGATGAAAGGTAATTCCCCCAAAATCACGAAATGCATAGTTTTTTTCTTTTCTTTTCTTTTTTTTTTGGGTGCAGCTCGAAAAGCATATTTGAAAAACAAGATTCATCCGTTTCTAGTCTCTGAGCAATTGGGGCAGGCCTAATCCAAGGAGACACGCTAATGAGGTCAATAAAAGGTGAAAATACATATCGAGCAGACTCCAGCTTTTAAACTATTATTCGGACAAGAAGATGTGTGTTTTCAGTTGTCTGTGTGTAAAAACCTCGGCATTATTGTTGCTGTGTCAATTCAAATAGTGTGCACGGCCATCCAAAACAGGACTTTGGGGCCCACGACTTTATGAATGGAGTAAAATCGTTGAAAAGGTATAAATTTAGATAAAAAAAATAATTGTGGGTCGTTTTTTTTCCACCGCAGTGTGTTCTTCAAAAGGTTTCGTCGTTTGGCAAATCGCTACAAGCATGTAACCATCCAATTCAAAACAAATGAAGTATGGGTCAACGGCAATCTGAAATCCACCTGCTTGGTGTCTGGCTTCAAGGAACCAGTGATTACTCAAATGATGAAGAAAACGAATTCCAAAAGAAAAAGAGCTCTTGAAAACAGTCCTACTTACTGTCTACAGTCGCCTGAGCCGTGGTCATACCCCTGAGTGACATGGACTTTACCTCAAAATTACATCCGGTAAAGCTCCATTTCCACTTCTCAAGTTTCAAACCCCCACCCCTAAATATTTTATATTATTCTTTCAATATGGTAAGTAACCAAAATAAAAATACAGAATTAAAAGAAAAAATAAGTATATAAAAAAGGGAAATTAAGTAATATTCATGGTATAGCTTCATTTACAATAAATTAAAATCAGTCAATATTATATTTTAGTGACATGTTTATTTGTTTGAGTCAAATTCCTTCTCCCTCTGATAGTTGAAATTGTCTCACTGGCACTGCATTTCCTAGAATTATTTTGAATCAACATAATTTTTTATAATTGTAAATCTGTGGGCCAACAGTAATTTTATATGTCGGCAAAAAAAAAGAACAGTAATTTTATATTCTTGTCCAAAAAACTTATTGTGCTGACACATTAATTATTAATTAATCCTATGTGTAATTCTGAATGGTAAAAATCCAAGAGTAAAATCATTCGTTAAGGAAATAAACTGTGATTTATCTCAAAAATAAAATAGTCAAGAGCTTCAAGAAAAAGTGTGAGAGTGACAGAGATCTCTCAAATATAATAACAAGCAAGCATCGATTGAAAAGTCATTATCCGCAAACTCCAAAAGTGGGTCAATCGAGCTTCAGTAACACAAGGGGAAAAAAATTTGAAAGCAAGGGGCCATGCAAACAAAGACAAAATTTTAAATTTTTCTTTTCATCTGTTTATTTATTCTGCTCTCAACAAATGACGTATACCAATCAGACAAGGCACTTTTTTATATGAATATATCATATCATTCATAAACCAGGTTCCCAAACAAATAAAATTAAAGGTACTTTAATATAATATAATTTCTTTATATAGCGTTGTTTGAACTTTGGATTTGAAGAATTTGATCAGCTTATCAGAGAAAACAAAAATGAGCAGGTTCATCAGGGAAAAAAGAGGATAGCAGCATTCAGAGGAGAAATATGGGGGGCGGGGCCCGCAATTCCTTTCCTCCCCAACATTCTGGGGAAAATGGAGAAATAACGTACTAACAGACGGATATATAAGACGAGGAGGCTTGCATTGCATTCCAAAATTTACCTTTATCAACAATTAAAATAGAGTAAATTTCACCATTTTCTAAAGTTAACTGAATTATCTTATATTGGATTTTTAAAAACTTGAATTGTACACATTCCATAAATTTAATGTTTTATAAAACAATTAACTTTATTATATAATGTTATAATATATTTTATCAAACAGAAAATAAAAAAATACGGGTCACGAATAGCTTATTTTAAAAGCATTATATTTATTTATCCAAATTTTAACCTTAATTAAATTAGCGAAAGGACTAAGTTAAGTACCTTGTTAAGCTTGAGACGACTGTCCAAGATGACACCCTCTGAAGTGAAGAGAAAATCTTCAGCCATTCTATACAGCAGATGCTCATACCCTCGTTCATCCGCAACTAAAAATTCTCTCTCCCCAAAGTCTACATATGTAGATATTGGCTCCACCTCTGCACCCAAATTCCCAGTCTATTATTCATCTAATTTTAGTAAAAGAAGGGGGGGGAAAGAAACAGAGAAAACGAAGCAGCAGGGTCACCGAGAACTTATTTTATGGTGGAAAAATATAAATGAGTAAAACAAATTCATTAAAAATATTAAAAGCATACGCTGAGCTGGAAAAGATTTGAGGATTGAATCATTTGACACAGTTACCCCACAAATTTCAATTTATTTTTCTCTTATTCGTCTTATGTGGAAGAGAAAGAAACAGTAAAAACTAAAAACTCAATGTTGAAGTAAGCGGTGAACTGACCTGCCATTTCGAAATCATGTAGGATAAAATCAATGGCCAGCTCTATTGGCGTCTTTGGCGACCTGAAATGAAACGTTGAAGAACGGAACTCAGATTAAGAATAATTAGTTAACCAATTATCAAATAGCCACTTCAACTTACGAAGGAGGTTCTGTTATTTTGTTGACGTCGCCACCGTGATCGGCATCCTGGTTCTTCAGCTTTTGAATTGCCGACTCCACCGCCTTTTTGTAAGAGTCGGCAGCGATTCCACTCGGAAAGATTTTCCCGCTGCAACTCGTTGCACAAATTCAGTTGCGTTCATTAACAGAGTGATTTGAAATTGCAGACCAAAACCACAACAGAGAGCAGTAAAATAGCAAAAAAGAACGGAAACGACTATAAAACTCAAATGCGCCACTGTATCGGAAATTATCGGAACAAGCGCCTCGCCACCACGGCGCGTAAAAGACAAAAACCGGCACTAGATTGCTCCGGCAAAGTAATGCGCTAATAGAACAGGCGCAAATAGCAACGGTAGGCCGTTTTCGCAAACCTGCGATCATAGATATTGTAGCGCGCATTGCTGTAATCAGAGAGGCAGGTTCGGAGGCCAGATTTGGCGGCTAGTTCCCAAACAGGATTGGACTCTTTACCACCAACTCCGGCAATCCAACCAGCTCCAAGTTCCGCCGACACACCTCCGAAATTTTCCTTCCTGATCCTACCGCCGATACGGTCGGAAGCCTCCAGAATCACCATGTCCTCTATTCCGTTCTCAGCCAACACTTTCGCGGCAGAGATACCTTTCGTACAGAGAAACTAAAATAAGAACAAAATGAACCACAATAACCGCATGGTGAGATATGGAAGGATTGATCGGCAGCGAAGCTCTCACCGGAAATACCAGCTCCGACGATGATGACGGAGGAGCGAGAGGGTGAGTCCATGTATCTGTGTGCGGAAACAAGAGAGAGACTGCATACGAATGCAGGAAGAGGGGAAATGAGATTAGTTGGAGAGGAGCAAAAATAGCGCGAGTCGGGTTTTATAGTGTTTTTTTCTCTCCTTTTTTCCTTTTTTCTGTTTTGTCATTTCCAGTTTGAGATGGAAGAAATGAGAACAGACGACCTTCGCTGACGTTTTCGTTCCGGCACACTTTTACTTTTTCCCCAGCTGCACAAATTTGACATATCTTGACCTACTGAAATTCTCCCCAGCATATTTGATAGAATTAATTGTTTTTAAATTAATATTAATATTAACATTATCGTTATAACAAGATACCTCATCCATTCTTTTTCAATCACAATATAATGAGGTCTTCTAAAAATATCACTTAATCTAAAACATAAAATATTAGATAAGTTATATATATATATATTCTTAATTTAATTATACATTTATTTTATTATAATTCAGTCAAGTAATATATAAGGATGTTTTAAATAAGTTAAATGTATATTTATTTCATCCAAGAGTGTCATTAGAAATATGTAAGAAAATTTAAAAAATATATTTTAAATTGAATTTTAAAAAATAAAAATTAATTAATTATATTATGTTCAAGAAGTGAAGATGAAGAGTTGGATAGTTTATTTATTAAGAGTATTTCAAAAAAAACTCATCAGTCATCAAACAGTCAATTAATTATATATTGAAAAACCGTCTAATTTAAAAAAAAAAGGCTTTATATTTTTTTTAAGAAATGAAGTAATATTTATCATATTTTATTTATAAGTTATTTCAACATCTCTTATTAAAATTAAAAAAAAATCAAAACTCATTCAATGTTTTTTGAAATTTAATAAGTTTTCAAGTTTGTTTATATTAAATATTACCTTCGCTTAAAAACATAAGATATTTTTAATCAAATGGATGTCCCATATAAAGTAGTTAATTATTTTTAAATTAACACAATATTTTTATATTTATGCTTATTTAATAGAGTATTTTGATTATTATAAATATAAAATGATTCATTTATTAAGGTCAATTTTAGAAAAAAAAAACATTAATTACAACTTAAAATATTAAAATGTTATGCATTTTTTTAACATCTAATCCCCAACATTTTAGAGGAGGGAGTATACATATTTTAATAACTTATTTTCTATCACCAACATTTAATGAGATAAAAGGAGAAACTCCTAATAAATTTTGTTTGAAAATAAAAGAAACTTCTAACCTTATCAGAAAAAGGGAAATGTATAAATTTGGCTATTAACTATTTTTTCATAAATACTGGGTAGCCTATACTATAAAATGGTGCAATATAAATTCTCAACTTTAAAAAATGAAGCCTCCAACGACCAATATTAATTTCACTCGACGGACATTAGCTTCTCATGTAGGGCACACAAAATTTTAACTGAAAAATAACACATGACACTCTACCTCAGTAAATAATTTTTATTTAGGATAAAAGTACAAATTTAGTCATGAATTATTTTTCAAAGAGTATTGGATAGCCTTTACTATCGAGTGGTACAAAGAAAATTATCAACTATAAAAAATGAACCATCCAGTACCTTCTCATCAATTTTAATCAAACGTTGTTTATTTTCACAACTTATGGGATTTATAAATTTTTAATCTCTCCAATCTTCTTACTTTCATTCTTAGTCTCAGCTTGAAAAGAAGAGGTTCAACAAGTTCTTATCTGAAGACATTCATGAGGATGACTCCAACAAAGGAGAAGAAGAATAGGAAGAAGATAAGGTTTCATTTAAATCTCTATAGCAATTCAAGCGAAGTAAAAGTTTCAATTGTAATGCTACCACACGTGGGATAAGCTTGATTCAAGCTTAATTTAGCCATAAATTATTTTTGTACCTATAATAGCATTACAAATTTAGCCACAAATTATTTTTATAGAAAATCAAGTGATTGAATCAAGCTTTTCTTGCTCGTAGTAACATCGCAATTCAAACGGTTGTTTCACTTGAATTGCCACAAAGATTTAAACGAGATCTTGTCTTTTTCTTCTTCTACTTCTACTTTGTTGGCATCATTCTCGTAAATATCTTTAAATAAAAACTTTTTGAGCCTCTTCTTTTCAAGTTGAAACTAAGAATAAAAGGAAGAAAATCAAAGAAATTGATGCATTGTAGATCCCATAAGTCTCAAAATAAATAATGTTTGATCAAAATTAATGTAAAAGTGCTCCTTGAAAAATAGTATGTGGTTAAATTTGCACCTTTAGCCTATGCTGAGATAGAGTGTCACATGTAATTTTTCAGTCAAATTTTTGTGGGCCCCACATAGGAAGCTAACATTCGTTGAGCGAAATTTATGGTAGGTATTGGATGCTCTACTTTTGAAAGTTAAGAATTTATTTCACATCGCCTCATAACATAGGATATTCAATGCTCCTGAAAAAATAATTGATGACCAAATTTGCACCATTACTAATTTTTATATTTTACTAGAATGATACTCATGAACGATTAAGGTTCAAGTGCACTATTGACCATTATAGAAATAATCATCCAATTAACAATTCATGACTAACCAATATAACTCTATTGTTTGCATAAAGTTAAAATATAATTTGAACTTTAAACTATTGATTTAGAAATATTTGAGACTTGATAGTTGGTTTTTTTGTTGTTGAACTATTTTCCTTTAATTTTTAACAACAATGCAATGTTGTCTCTACTACTAACGTAAGTTAATTTTAACCATTAGTTGATAAAAAAATGAGAAAAAGAACCAAAAACATTATAAAAATGACTCAAAAATTACACAGAAGGACCCCAAAATTGACCAAAAAATTTAAAAAAAATTATCAAGGAAATTTTCTATAATTTTTGAGTCTTTTTTTTAATTTTCTCATTAACTAATAGCCAAGGTTAACTTTTGTTAACGGTAAGAGCAATATTATACTATTTTTAAAAGTTAAAAGGAAACATTATACTAAATAAATTTAATATCTCTTTGATCTAATAATTTAGAAGTCAAATTACTATTTAACCCCTACATATAAGACATAAATCTTAATAGAAATAATAGTTAGCCCGTGCATTTGTACAAAATTAAAACCTCGCATGCCGTGTCATATGTTGTTCTTGTAAATAACTTTGTTTCATGAACTTTTTTAAATTTATGTCATACATATAATTTATTTAAAATATAAGGTTAAAATACAAAAATGCCCTTCAAGTGGTCGGCCAAAAGTAATTAAGAGCCTAAAGCAAAAAAAAAGGGTAAAAATACCCATAATATTACTAAAGTTGATACAAAAGTGACCAAACCATCAACTCGCCCTAACGCCATTAATTTTCGGTGTTAAATGCTGATTGTGTTGCTGACTTTAATTGCCACATGTTAGTATTTGCTAATGTGGAATAAAAAAGGAGCAAAAATATCTATGAAATTGTCGGTCAAGAGCACCTAGTAGCTTAAAATGAGAAAAAAGGGTAAAAATACCTATAGCATTATCAAAGTTTGTACAAAATTAACCAATCCACCGAATTTCTTAAATGTTAACCGTTTAGCTAACACCTAAATAAAAATTGATCAGTTTTTCATTGACGTGGATAAAAAATATTCTCAAGTGTAATTCTATAGAGATTGATTGGTCATCATATAAGTATCCATAACATTGCTTTAATAGGTGCAATAGTGACAAATCCGTCAAAATTAATGCCACATGAACAATCAAAAATTGAGAACAAAGATAATGTAGCTCACTGCAAAGAACATAATCACTTCCTAAAGGAGGTAATCTCTGCTTTTAACACCTTCGTGACTACACACACCTCCTACACCACCCACCTTGAGAACACTAGCATAATCTTAAACAATTTCATTCATGATTAGGTTTAAAATCCTCAAATGGCTTCCACCAATGCTGCAAAAAAGTGAGAGAGTTAACTTGTTGTTGGGTCAAAACAATATTTTCCTACATGATATTCATATGATGACTAATCACCTCTATAGAATTTCACCTAAAAATATTTTTTTGTTGTATGTCAGCAAAAAATGATCAACTTTTACTTAGATGTTAAATAAACGATTAACATTTAAGGGATTTAATAGATTGATCACTTTTGCACCAGTTCTAATAATGCTATGGGTACTTTTACCCTTTTTCTCATTTTATACTATTGGATGCTTTTGGCCAACAATTTTGTGATATTTTTTCCCCATTTTCAATCCATATTAGCAAAGACTGACACATAGCAGGTATAGTTAGCATTTAACACCGAAAACTAACGGCATTATGGCAAGTTAACAGTTTGGTTACTTTTACACTAATTTTGGTAACATTATAGATATTTTTATCTTTTTTCTCATTTTAAGCTATTGAATACTCTTAATGACTACTTAGTAGGTATTTTTACACCTTAACCCTAAAATATAATTCATTTAATTATACTGCATGATATAATTGGTGAAGGGTCTGGTATTAAATTTTTTATATATATTGGGTGGTCTGTGTAAGATTAAAAATAAGTAATTTTTAGATAATTTAGAGATTTTGTAAATATATATTCATTTTGTAGAAATTTTATAAGAAACATACATTATTTTATATTTATTTACAATAATAAAAAAGCACTTTACTGATTAGCTATTTTTAAATTTTATAACATCTTTCTTAGTTTATGTTATATAAAAATAATTTATTTGATTATTTTTAACTTTTATGTTATCTTCATCTATTTCACATTTTTAAAACACTCACACTTATTTATCACATGATATTATTTTCAGAAGTTATTCAAAATATCTTTTTAAAATAATCAAAACCTATTTTTTATTTTGATTATTTTTAAAAATTTAAATAAACATGGTAAAAGCTCACAAAATAGTTACTTAGTTAATAGTTAATGATTATAATAACTTGATTGTGAGCTCATACTTTATGCAGAAAGCGAACGGTATCACATAATGATTTATAAATAGTTTGCCTTTCTTATAGAATTTATATTATCGTATTACCCCCTTTATAATACAAGGCATTTTATGAAATTTTAAGGGCAAATGATATTTTCCCCCTAAAATTCCCTAAATGGGATATCAA